AACTGGATCTTTTAAGTTTCCTCGGAGATAAAAGTCTTTATATCGTTCGGAAGTTGTTTATTTTTAAATAGAGAAATTTTCGGAAAACAGTTATATTATGGTTAATTATTTTTTTCAAATACAAATTATTGTAATCGATGAAGAAATGGCAAGTTAATCCCCTCTCAAGATTTGAAGGTTCGTGTTTCAGAATAAAAACAAAACAAAATGGATGAAAAAAAAAAGTGTGGCAAGTAATGTCAGTATAGCTTCCTCACCGTTTCGTTAGCTAAAATATATTTATATCACAAGGTATACAATTTTTCATGATTATGTAGAGATAGTTGACCGTGATATGATATGAGAAGGAGTTGATCGGGGGGGGTGCGGTCAAATAAATACTAAATTATACAAATAGTATTATTTAATGTTTTTGCCGAAGTTTCGACCCACTTTGTAGGTCTTCATCAGGGCTACAAAAGATACAAAACAATTGAAAATAAAATAAATGAATATAAGTAGATTCTTCTTATTTCATATCTACTTATATTCATTTATTTTATTTTCACTTGTTTTGTATCTTTTGTATGAATGATGAAGACCTGCAATGTGGGTCGAAACTTCGGCCAAAAAATTAAATAATACTATTTGTATAATCTAGTATTTATTTGACCGCACCCTCCGATCAACTCCTTCTCATATACAATTTTTCGTATGAGAATAAAATCTCTGGGAGAAGCCGATTCGGAAATACAGTTACCCTTCAATATTCGCCGGTTTGATATCCACGGATTTCGTTTATCAGCTAATATTTAAAGATTCTATATTGATTATTCTTAATTAAAAAAAAAATACCAATGCATACTGAACATGCATTTCACTACTGATATTGCAAAAGGTCTTATGTAAAAACTCATTATTTCTTTATGCTTTATTGTTATAATTTCATATTTTATTGTCCTCTGCTATTTTCCATAGTAGAAGACTACTTATCAGTTGTAGACTAAATGTCACCTTTACCACAATTAGAATAAAATTTGAAAATTTTTACATACGACATTTTGCACTAATAGTAGTGATATATACTTAATAGGTACGTTTTCAGTTCGTAAAATGGATGGAACTAGAAAATCCATAGGAAAAATTAAACTTGTTGTTTGTTCGGAGTTAACAAGATTTTTTCTTCAGTGAGAACAAAACTAATTAAGCTTGGATGTAAAAATATGGGTGTAGTTCACACAATTTCGATATTCAAGAAGGAAATCGTGAACAAGACAAACTGATTGAACTTCAATGAAAACTTTGGCTATTTAATTAGGTACTAAAAACTCGTAAACACCCATTTGCTTTCTACTTGGATCGTAAGATGATTTGATCACAAAACGTGACATATACCCCCAAAATTTCAAAATTACGAGATTATATAGGACAAACGGCCCAATATTTATTTAGGCCACCTTTTTTTATCGATTTTGTGATCAAATTATCTTACAATCCAAGTAGAAAGAAAATGGATATTTACGAATTTTTAGTACCTATTAAATAGACAAAAGTTGCCCCCCTCCAGATTGAAAACGCACCAATTTTAAGAATTTTCGCAAATAAAATAATAGTAGGTTACAATGTGATGGAACTATTTACGAAGTTTCAGACGGATGTTAATAATTCGATAAAAAGGGGTCTTTACCACTGCGAAGTCTGCGCCAATGATAAAAAAGAAACATAAAATCATTAAACTAGTTTTTGGATAAAGTTATAGTGATGAATATTTTATCATTCCACTGTCCACTGCAGACTAAATAATGTTTCATATCTCTGGACCAATCAAGGGAGCGTTTACATTTGTCCTTGGATTCTTCATACCAATCCTAAATAATGTTTTAAAAAAAAAAAATGCTATGATAAAATCTCAAGGCAATACTGCACCCACACTTCATCAAATCATGGCCGCTCACTCGCCTTATATTTTAGCCTCATAATTCTACCCTAAGGCTTGTGATAATTTCAAGCTGTGTAATTTGTGGCTTGTCCAATTTTCTCGAACCAAGAAAAATATTTATGCGATATTAGGTATTGAAGGTATAGACTAAAAAATGCAGGTAGAAAAAACTTAACGTTAAAGGAAGTAGATAGAGTAAAATGGATAGAATAATAAAAGTAACAGTGAACTGAGAAATAAATAATAATAACAGGAACAATGCTATGTTTATTTCATTAGTCTATGCTTTGTTCCTGTTATTATTTATTTCTCAGTTTTCTGTTACTGTTATTATTCTACCTACTTTATTTTACTTTAATGTTCATTCTATTGACTTCATTTAACTTTAAGTTTTTTCTACCTACATTTTTTAGTCTATACAGCCTTTTTATATTTTAATCCTTTATTGAAGAGAAGGATGGTTGAGGTGATCAGTCAGAAATAAAAAAGCAAAAAATAAATAATAATATTTATTTTAACATTTGCCGACGTTTCGACCTGAAGCTCAGGCCTTCTTCAGGGCTGTTCGAAGAGATTGCTGGAATTGAGTGGAATAGAGTAAAATGTCACTCTATTTCAGCAATCTCTCGGAACAGCCCTGATGAAGGCCTGAATTTCAGGTCGAAACGTCGACAACGCTAAAATAAATATTATTATTTATTCTGCCTTTTTATTTCTGACTGATCATCACAACCATCCTTCCTTCTCTTCATTATTCACGACATTCAACCATCAACCCACAATTTATTCTTTATTATTCAATGTTTATATTTTCTCATACCTATTGTTATCTGGTTCTTTTCTTAGCCCTGATGAAGGCCTAAACTTCAGGTCGAAACGTCGCCAAACGCTAAAATAAATATTATTATTTATTCTGCCTTTTTATTTCTGACTGATCATCCCAACAATCCTTCTCTTCATTATTCACGACAGTCAACCATCAACCCACAATTAACTCTATATTATTAAATGTTTATATTTTCTCATACCTATTGTTATCTGGTTCTTTTCTTAGCCCTGATGAAGGAATGAACTTCGAGCCGAAACTTCGGCAAATGTAAAAATAAATATTGCTATTTTTATTTTGACTGATCACCCTAACCATACTTCTCTTAAAAAAAAAGAAGATTAGCTTAGCGCTAAACTCGCTGTTAGTCATGTCAGTTAACTGTGTTTCCCATAGTTTGTAAAATGTCTAAACGGACTCTCCAGATTCAGTCGTAAATAATACCCGAACTCCGGGATACCCTATACTCCCCGCCAGATCAGATCGCCGGCGTCCTCCCCTCCCCCAGGAACCCGCAGAGGAGGGCAAGAACGTGCTAAAGAAGGAGGTCAGGAGTTCACAGTTGGGCCACTCCTCTCAGTCAATTCCCTCTCATTCATTCAATTCTCTTTCGATATTTTTATGTAAAAACAAAAAAAAAAAAAAAAAACCTTTGCTAAAAAAAAAGTATGCTCCTTGCTTATGCCAGTCAAAGAGGTGTCCGAAATGAGTCGTAATATTTTTTTTGGGACAACTTTCTTCTACTTCCATTGTGCTGGGTTCGACGTGACCCCATCTCTTCAGGAAATAAGTTGAATTTCATTCCCTGACTTGTATAAGTTGTTACTTTTTTTAAATAAAAAAAAAAACTTCTTTGAAGCTTAGTTTCCCTATCATGACATTTTCCCTTTAACACCTCTAATACAGACATATATATTTCGCAATAATATCGTTATACAAAAGAAGGAAAATGGACGTAACTGAAGCATATTAAATAACATCTTTCATCAGATGATTGCACAAAAATAAAAACAGATCGTTTTTATACAGAAATCAAAATTGCAATTTTGGTCATTTTGATAAAATAAAAATTTGAAATAAGACATCATACTAGACTGAAACGACAAGAAACTACTCGACGTTTCCGACTACTCCAACACTTACTAGACAAACGCTCTAAATTTCCAATTAATTACAAAAGACTCATATACATGACTATAATAAGGCCTATTTGGACTTACGGAGTTGAGCTATGGGGCTCCACTAAACCATCGAATTCCTCTCGTATCCAATCCTTACAATCCAAAATCCTTCGTAAAATCCTCAATGCTCCCTACTTTGTTACAAATAAAACTACCCATAATGACCTTAATGTTTCAGTTCTGGCCCAATCCAGATAACTATCCTTCCAGAACCATCCCTCTCGTTTCAAACCTTGCTTCCTCCTTGATCCCTGATAACCCTCTGAGGCGTCTGAAAGAAGATGGCCTCGTAATCTACTTATGTAAACATATTATTAGAGTGCTACCATTGGGTAGTTACTCAGCAAGTGTTTTCATGTCATTATATGATTTTATACTTTGTCACCTAGAAGTAACAGTGTTTTTAGAAAAAAGTACTGCCATTAACTGTTACAAAGCTTTTATTTTCTCTATTTTCATGGTCTAGGGTCAATTATAATAAATTTAATTGCATAAATACACAATTAATTTATAAAAATAACAAAATTATTATTTATTTTGGTGGAGTTTCAGATTGAAAGCAATGTCCTTAGATACGCCTATAGTTAGAGTTGCCCAAAATCGGTCTTGGATTTTGCAAGACCAAGACCAAGACCGCTTAACTGTTGTGAAACTAAGACCGAGACTGGTAAAAAAAAAAAGATTTTGTAAATAAAAATTAAGTCAAAATAGTTACTAATACTTGACAATCTTAGTTACTATATTTCAAGAATTGATATAACCAATATACTTTTGCATTTAACTCTTTTAATTTTTCATTTGGGCTTACTTAGGTTTCTCTTATCTAAAAAAATTACAGTAATATCTCTATAACAATAAGCTAATAAGTAACTGCAAGACTGAGTTTGCAAGACCAAGACTCGTCTCCGTCTGGCATTTTCGCAACACTACACACACATAGAAATATATATAATTTCTATTTCCTTTTTTGTCTATGTCCTTTTGGGATAAGAAATAATTATTTGGAAGTAGATAATTTCAAAAACATGACTAGGTAAAACAATAGTCCATTAGCTGAGACATCTATAATAGCAGTGAATAGATTATTACATGCCTAAAAGAGGTTTGGAAAAATATTGCATCCTGAATTCCTCTTGCTATCCATCAACACCTGACTGAGGAGATCCGTCTCTATCTTGCGGATCCTTTGAGGTCTGCCGCCTAGACCAAGGACTCGCCTAGACATAGACAAAGGATCAGAAGACAAGATGGATGTCCTGCCAGGAGTGGGCCACTCCCGCCGACCCACGGACCAAGGACTCCCGCATATGGGATTGCAAAGGACACTCAGGATAACACCTGTTCTTGTTAGCGACCGCTTCACCATAAGTTTTCGTCATCGATCGGTAAAAAGATTTGGTTAGTTAACATATTTATCAATATAGGCTACAAAGTCATAACTGAAAAATTACTATATTTCGGAGATGTGTTCGAAGTTTTTTTTTTTTTTTTATATATATTTCAAGGCTTCAATCACTAGGGTCATTATTGCTTAATTTTCATCGAGAACTAGATTGTATTCTCAAGTTTAGAACATTTCAGAAAACAAAATAGTTTATCAACCTCATTCGTATTGTCCTGGATCGTTTTTGAAGTCACAAGATAGTCTAAATGTTTCGTAAGCTCTGCATTCTGTTAAAATGTATTTCATTGTCAGAGGAGTCCCACCAGGAGGAGGAGATAAAGAACAAAATTTGTATATGTTAATTTATATGTATATTAATTTATATGCATATTAATGTATAAAACGAAAACGTGAATTGCTATTTTTGCTTCCTCACTACCGAAGCTAAAACATCCTTGGATGACTTAGCACCTGCAGAAAATACTAGGACTAAAAAGGATTGAATCCTCGAGCTGAAGATATCCTGAGGAACTATTCCTGGAACAATGCCTCCAGAAGCGGTAGCTCACGACTCGACATTAAAAGCGGAAATTACTCCCTCAGTTCCTTTATTTTCTTCAGTCTTTTCTATTTTCCTTTTTCATTTGGAAACCCATTACACGTTATTCGTATCTGAAAGCCGTGTCTCCACCCGCCATTTTTTTTTCTTCCTTACAGCGTTAGTTACTTCTCTTTCTCTATCTCACTCTTCTGGGTGACTTAAATAACCTTAGAGTGGCCTTACATCCTTAATTGTCTTTTCCAATTAACTCCTGCGTAAGGAAGGCTTGGCTTTACTTTATGAACTCACTAACAAGAGCCACTGTAAGAGACGACAATATAAAGAACAAGAAAAAAATTATAAGTATTTTTTATCTCTCTATAATATTTTTTTTTTATTTTAATGAAATTTACAACTGTATTACATGGAAAATACAACAAGTAAATGTGACATTGGTAACATGACATGTACAACTTGAAGAGAAACTACCCATTGGTAGAACTCAAATTAAAGTTCTATATTAGAAGGTCCCGAGGCCATCTTCTTTTCAGACGCCTCGGAGAGTTATCAGGGATCGAGGAGGAAGCAAGGTTTGAAACGAGAGGATTCGGATGGTTCTGCAGTTTGTTATGGAATGATAGGTATCTGGATTGGACCAAATCGGAAACATATGGTACATTAAGGTCTTAATAAATTATTTTATTTGTCACAAAGTAAGGAGCATTGAGGATTTTACAAAGGATTTTGGATTGTAAGGATTGGATACGAGAGGAATTCGATGGTTTAGTGGAGCCCCAAAGCTCAATTCCAACCTCAACCAACTAAAGATTTTAGACCCAAAAATTTGCACTGAGAAATGGTATTTATTCATCTGTAGGTGGCTAGTTTATTTTACCTAGATGGCAGCCGTTATTTTTCGACCTAAACATTCTCCTCTTGAATACAATATATTAATTATTATATTATATGTAATATTAGAAATGAAATTATAAATATATAGAAAAGAAAATGAAAACATTAGAAACTAAAGGCTAAAATTGATGGTGTACTTATATGAGGTGATGTTGTGCATACAGCTTAGTTTTTTTTGTTTTTTTTTAAGTACCGCTTAAGTGAATCAACATTAATTGAAAATAACACGGGACAAGGAAGTGACATTAGTGAAAACATGACGAAGATCGATTTTCAAAGTCTAAGTGTGAATGTCCGCCATTTTATCTTCTTAAGTACACTGATAAGAAAAGAAGTTTGTTTTTTTGTTATAAAAATAGATAAAACTTTGATATTTGTGACTTTAAAACAAGGAAAGGACATACAAAAGCTGTTGACATTTTGTTTTCGAAATTAATTAAAATTGAGCTGTCATTTTTTAAAAATTATCCTCTTCAGCTGCGAAAAATAAGGTCAGCTCCCCCCCCCAAACACGAAAAAAATACAAAATGTATACAATTTATGGTTATTTATACTCAGGATCATAGGTGAAGACTTTCCATTTTGATTGAGAGGGCGATGGATAAAAAAAAAATGTATATTATGTGTAAAAACTCAAAATATCTATTCAGAAACGGAAGGGGGACTGTCTTCATAAAATAGGTACATCTCTATATCTTTTCCAGCTAAAAATGAATAATATTAAAAAATTTATCTTTTTTTATTTTCAGAGTTTGTCTTGTATATATATATATTGTATAATAGTGGTTATGTTAGTATAGTATAGTATAGCTACAATCTATAGCAACGCAAGGTTTTTCGGTCGCCATTTTGAAAGTAAAAGACAGATAATGATGTAGAGATGGTTGACCGTTGATATGATATGAGAAGGACTTAGTCGAGGGTGCGGTCAAATAAATCAAAAAATTAAAATTATTTATATATTTTAATTTTTTGATTTATTTGACCGCACCCTCGACTAAGTCCTTCTCATAAAAGACAGATAGTAGTGTCGATGATAACGGAGGATCAGATCCTCGAGTGACCTCTGATTATAAATCCAAATTTGAAAAAAATCGGTCCAGCACTTTCGGAGAAAATGCACCGACGCCCAAAAACATTTGTATTCGTTTTTCGAATTCTAGGTATCCTGAAACGTAAACATCAAATTTTGAGAGGTTGTTAAGTTTTTTTATTTTTTTTGTTCAATTACAATGGTTCATTATTGAAAATAATAAACCAAAATACAATGTTTCCACAGTCTAACTAGTTTTTTTTTTTATCCTTTAACAATCCTTTTGTATCCTTTAACAATACCCCACTTATCTCTGTTGACCAAATCCGATACCTAGGACTCCACCTTGACAAACGACTTACTTGGAACCCCCATACAGACTGAAACGACTAGAAACCGCCCGACGTTTCCGACTACTACAGCACTTACTAGACAAACGCTCTAAACTGCCAACTATTTACAAAAGACTCATATATATTACTATAATAAGGCCTATTTGGACTTACGGAGTTGAGCTTTGGGGCTCCACTAAACTATCGAATTCCTCTCGTATCCAATCTCTACAATCCAAATTCCTTCGTAAAATCCTTAATGCTCCCTACTTTGTCACAAATAAAATCATCCATAATGACCTTAATGTACCATATGTTTCCGATTTAGCTCAATCCAGATACCTGTCCTTTCATAATAAACTTCTGAACCATCCGAATACTCTCGTTTCCAACCTAGCTTCCTCTTCTATTCCTGATAACCCTCCGAGGCGTCTGAAAAGAAGATGGCCTCGGGACCTTCTAATATAGAAATATAATTGGAGTGCTACCAATGGGTAGTTTCTCCTCATGTTGTACATGTCATATTACTTGTTGTATTTATTATTAATTACAGTTGTAAATTTCGTTAATAAAAAAAAAAATGTCTATAAAAACAATCTCTATTAAATTTATTTTTTCAAACTTTAACAAAAATCACGGGAAACTGGAGGATGAATGAAACATAAATTCTAGGATATGTTGTATTATATTTATAAAAAAAATATTTAAAACATTTTATTAATAGGAATATTTTAGTCGTGATAAAATAGTTAAGTACCTACTTATAGGAGTCTTGGTCTTGCACAAGAGTTTTGAAACAGTCTAGCAGTTGCCTATTAGCTTATTACTATAAAGATATTACTGTATTTTTTTAGATAGCAAGAAACCTAACTAAGCCCAAATGAAAAATTAGAAGGGTTAAATGCAAAAGTATATTGGTTATACCAATACAAATAGTAACTTAAATTGTCAAGTATTAGTAACTATTTGTAATTAAATAGTTGTTGTTTTTTTTATCAATCTTTGTCTTGGTCTTAGAGCAGTTATAGTTTTAGTCTCAATCGATTTAAGTATACATATTTCATTCATTCATGTAACTTATTTGTTGTCAATTTTAATTTTTTTCCTTTAAATTATTTTGGGAGGGGGAGACGAAACGATACTCTTGTCCCCTCACTATTTTATTGGTAGAGGATTATCCCTCCCGAAGTCTGTGAAATTGATCATGATAATTTGGATGTTCTCTAATATTATATCATTTATTATTGTTGTTAAGTCTAAAGATATTTTCAATGAATGGTATCGAATGATAAAAAATTTAAAAGAAAAAATGTAGCTTGTAGTGCCTTAACTTAGACTGAAAACACCAGAAAACTGACTAACTTAAACTTCTCTAATATTCTCTTTTCTCTCTGAGTTTGTTATGTGGTATTCATGAGATTCGCTAACTTTTTCCACCGAAACTCGTATCAAAGTAAAAAAGTTAGCGGATTTTCTTTTACTTTACTGTCCGCCAGAAAAAAAATCTTTGTACAGTACAAACATAACGTCCCTGAAAGGATTTTTAAACCTACCCCTTCTAGACTTTCAAAAGATAACATAAAATAAAATAAAACAGAATAATAGATAGATAGATAGATATTTTATTTGTTATAAGGGGGGAGGGGTTCTCCATACAAATAGAGCCTAGCTTGGCTATTGTACAATAATATGGTTTTACAAATTTACATACCATTACATATCATTTAAATATAAATAAACTTTACAATATTTTCCGTTTATAATGGGTTTTACAAAGCATGAAAAACAATAAAAGTTAAAAACATAAAATGATTACTCCATAATGATAATTAAATGAACCTATTACTATGATAGAACAATAAAAAATAAAAATATGGATATATACAAACAAAATATTACTTTTAACATAAACTAGAAACAAACACTTAATATAACATGGGATATGATCAATAATTTTGTGAATGTACTTTGTGTACTCCCATCATATAATAGTAAACTTTGTTTACTTTATCTATACAGCCGATATTCAATATGGTTTCGATGTTGTGGTTATCAGAAGATTCTGAGATGGAGTTATGGAGGAATTTTTGTCTATAGTCATTGTATGCTGGGCAGTGAAGGAGAATGTGATGTAGACTATTGTGGATAAATTGACTGCATGATATACAAGTTT